GCTCTTATCGCCGTTGGTAAGTATCACTGTAGTTGGTACCAAGATGGCCCTAAGTAATTACTAAGCGGATAAGTGGCATCTTAAGATAGTTCCGTTCCACGAGTGCTATATATATATATAATAACTAGCTAGATAGTACAGCGGGGTAGCGATACCAGGTATATATACCAGGTATATAATGAGTTATTACATATTATTGTATATGTGTGTTTATGGTTAATGATATATTATTACGTATATCATCATTCATGTGGTTCATAATTACAGCCATGAGGTTGTTTGATAGAGTCGACTCTATCTATCTCCTTGCTTGTAAGTGGATGTTTCTATGATGCGCCATATCTTTCCCGATCCCCTTCAAGAAATTATCATCATAATAGTTGCGCGATTGCGCCTCGTGCATTGTCGTACGTGAATGTGTGTGTGTGTGTTGTGTGTGTGTGTGTTGTGTGTGTGTGCACACGTGTGCGTGTGCGTGTCTGTGTGTGTGCGTGTCTGTGTGTATGCGCGCGTGCGTACGCTATACACACGCGTGCTATACGGATGTGTGTGTATAGCAGCTGCAGTACAAGGTGTATATAAGGGGCAACTCGGTCCCCTCAGGAGAAGCAAGAGGGAGTTTGGTCTAGTGGTATGATTCTCGCTTCGGGTGCGAGAGGTCGTGGGTTCGATTCCCGCAACTCCCCTTTTGGACGTGGCCACGTCCGCACCATGGTGCGCGACGGCGTCTGCATGCATGCCGACGCATGGATCATGTATGGATCATCGGGGTGCAGAACGGATGTAAACCTGGTGGAGGGATGCATCCAATTCCCCAAAATGCACGAGGTGATGATGATGGTGATGATGAGAATGCACGAGACGGTTCCGGTTCACTTCTCTGCCGCACACAATTGTGTGCAACCATCTACTACGTGCATATGCACCAGGCACTACTCGGGAGAGCTAGCTAGCTAAACAGGCGACCAGCCGGCAGCTTGGCGATTTTGCTGGTAAGCACGTGTTTTTCGGAGGGAGGGAGGGAGGGAAAGAGGTAGGGTGATGTTAGGGGCCCCTGCATGCTCTGGCTACTCACACTATCCTCAACCATACATCCTGTCCTTTGACACCCACGCACTGCACATACAGCTCTATCTAAAGTCTCTCCTGGCAATTAAAACTGTTGCTTGTACAAGTGTTGGGTACAATGTATGTCCGCAGTCTTTTATGGTGTTCCCCCTGTTGGACTGATCAGTCATGAGGA